TCTCATGTGCGCTGATCCAACTATATTTAGCTTTCAGCTGTGACAGTGAGAATAGCATCTTTGTTGTGTGGAAGAAGATACATTCTCAAAAGTATGAACACCAGATATGTATATAACACTCAAGATTTGCCACCACAGCTACTGGGCGAAATAGTGGTTTACTTTACTTTTAAAATCTCTAAACAATTGGATGGCAGAAAAGGCTAACAGAAAGTAATTGAATAATACATTTAATATTTAGTTATATTTGATATTATAGTTGACTATAGTGCATTTTTATCATATTATCTGTATTTAATGTGTAAAAGCTGTTGTTATATGCAGTAATATATAGTATTGTTGAGAGTTCTGCTTGTGATTTTGCGAATATATACATTATGGGGATTTCTCATACAGACAGCACTCGTAAAGACAAGTCACCAAATGTCTGACACATCATCTTGTCATTTATTACAACAAATTGTTGATTTATGAGTGTCCCTTTAGAAAGGGCTGACACATCCCTTTGCCCTCACCGAACCTTTGCACTTGAACGTGAAATGGAATGACCCGAGTGAGAGATCGTAGTGTAACACATTAAGTATGAGGAAATGAGGTCTGACAGTCCCAAAATCGGCATGTGTCCTGATGTCCAGACCTAGCAGACAGGCTGTGCCCATCCATACAAATTTCAGAGGGAGAGAGCCAGCGAGAGCTGATTGCAATGTAAGCGTCTGGTGCTGTCAGCAGCTTTAAATCACACAGGCACTCCACAACAAAAAAACACAGAGAGCTATTGTGCTCCCGAACAATAATGGTCAATTTATACACTGGAGTGTGCTTTCATTTTGTAAACACTTATTAAAACAGGTATCTTTGGTGATATAGGAAAAAATAGAGAACCTCTATGAGAATTGCCATTGTTCTGTGTAATTTCACTCCGAAATGAAAGCTTATCCCTCCGGAGAATGCCAATGTTAGGAAGAGGTGGCCGAGGTTTACTTTAACAAGGCTGCCGATCGTTTCAATCTGACCTCAACAGTTTGTGTGGAACATTTGAACTGAGATTGTTTTTTGAAACTGTTGTTAATGTAATACAGGCCTTGCAGAGAGTTTGCTATTGAATGATAGGGCAGTTATATACTGGAGCTGACAGCAAACCAAAGCACTGTTGCTCATTTCACATGCGAAGAGGGTGTTTACATACACATTTAATGAAGGGTGAAAGGATGGATTGAAAGGAGGTCCTTAAAAAACTAAATCATGTTTGATGTGAATTAGAAGGGTCTGATGGAGTTTGATTCCCTGACACTTTCTCCTTTGGCTTGGGGTTCAAAAGACACTTAATATTTAGTAATATTATCGACTTGACTGCACTGGCACTATCGAATGAGAACAAAACTTGAACTGAATTGAGCTGGATATTGACAGTCTTCTGTTGAGCTACCTTTGAAGGTTTTTCATAATTAAGGAACGTAACAACATTGACACAGGGGTCAAACTGAACTGAATCAACACTAAACCAATTAGAGCTGCATGAATAATGACACTATTGTCTTTTGTAGAGCTGCTTTGTCGCTGAATAGAATTTGATTCGAAATTGGACTTTGCAACATCAATACTTTAAATGAACTCAATTCAGTCAACACTGAACTGACTTGAGTTATTGTTACTGTAGATCTAGCTGAATTGAAATAGATTCATAATTGATGAACTTTGCAACATTTACGCTGTTACTGAACTAAACTGAGTTGAATAATGACACCTTCTGTAGAGCTGCTTTACAGCTGAAGCCATTTCATTTCAATTTTGCAACACTCATTTTCCTGTCTATTTCTGTGAAGCTGTTTTGAAACAATGTGTATTAAATAAAGCACCATAAATGTAACTGGACTTGTTTTGATTAGTCTTTTTCTACGTGAAACCACTTATGCAGCACCTGAAGAGTCAGCTGTTAATACTACTGCATTATGAGGTTAAGAGGAAAGCTTAGCTGACTGTACAGTATTAAACAAAGCAT